ATACTCAACACAGTTATATTTCAAACTAGTCACAACATATTAATTTGCATCTAGACATATGATTGTATTGTTAATATTTCGTTCTCTCACGTGGTATGACGTCATAGAACCGCATCATTAATTTACGATCTGCGTCTGCTATTCCACGACCGTTATCGTCACATAGGAATCTTCTATATCAACATAACAGAATATCATCTTTGATGGTATGGTGAATATCTTTCTTTAACTGTCCGTATAACAACTTTGAAGATGTCTCATGTGAGTTGAAAGATTAGATCAAGGAACAGCTTAATAGAAAATATCCACATTTTGGACAATTTTTGTTTTTATTTTCACCCGAAATTAAATCTAACATCAAACATAATAACCATTCATTGTCTGTTATATATATATATATATATATATATATATATATATATATATATATAGTTAAACCTAGAGAGCCAGACAAACCTAGCAAGGTTACATCTAAGCGGATAGTCAGACGGCTTTCCCTGACGATCCGCTTAGGTGAAACCTTGGTAGTTTTGTCTGGCTCTCTATGTTTAACTAGGTCTGCTCTACGCATTGTATTGAGCACTTTATTTAGTTATTTTGGGTATTCGTATCGGGGTTTTTTCTTTGGGGCTTGAACTCGTCTGCTGGACGATTATTTTCGGTTAATGTACATGTTTTTGTTTCTTTCTTTTTTTAATACCATTTTCCCCTTGGTATTGACTTGTTTATATGCAAATCAACACACTGAAGGTTTTCCGAGCGACTATAGTTTCTTATACTTATAAGATTTCTATTAATAATAATAATAATAATAATAATATATATATATGGTTGGATAGATGTGAGTTTGTCACAAACTCACATCTATCCAACCAAATATGTTAGCTCTATCTCTGATATTGAGCGCTTTCTAATAAGTACCGCGCATATAATATATAAATAACTATACATATATATATTTATTTATATTTATATACACTTTTCACACACACACATATATATATATATATATATATATATATATATGATACACGTCCACCCACAGTAAGTCAGCAACTGAGGAGACTAGCATCTATATTCGCGCACATAAACACTGGTGATGATTTTGTTTATTACCAATTTCTTCGCAGTGGACACTCGACACGCCGTTCATGTCTGCTGTAAACACCGTAAGAAATCTCGTAAAATTGTGGTCAGTCTTAATAGGCACGAACCTCACCCTGATTAAAGATAAGAGATCGCTTTTTTTTTTTCAGTCCGAAGAGGGGAAATCATACAAAGTCCCAATAGAACAAATTTAGCGGGATGAGCTAATGGCGGCGGTCCGCTTAACGACACCGTTATGAAATATGTGTCTAGTTATGTAAGTTGAACACCCCCACAAGGAAAATTGCGGACATATAACAAGAGAAAACTATGTGGTAAATAAATCCATTAATAACGATAGTAATTATATATATATATTTTTTTTACAAGCTTTTGTCTGTTCATACAGACATTCCATATATATATATATATATATATATATATATATATATATATATATATATATATAGATAGATAGATAGATAGATATAAGTGGGCATTGAAGTCAACACACAGAGTCGAGAGACTGTTTCATGCTAGGCGTAATCGTCAGACCACGTGTATCGTTTTTTTTTCGCGGTTATTTATATATACGCGTCAGTGGTGCATTGTGGGTAGATTTCAATGTCCACTTTTCTATTTAGATACGCCTTATCTCAGACATTGAGCACTTTATCCCATATACCACACCCTAAAACTATATTTCATCATATATATATATACATTAAAATTAAAACAAAGATATTCACACTAAACACAATTATATTTCAAACTAGTCACAACACATTTGATAAAACATCTAGATAAAACATTCATTGTCTGTTATATATATATATATATATATATATATATATATATATATATATATATACTATGGATCATTTTCCTAATTCGGTATACCTTAATTTTAGTAGAGTTTTTACACCTAATAGACCATCCTCTCTATACCATGTGTGTATGTTTGTGTGTGTTGACACCCATCATATGTGTGTCTGTTTTTGCGTACCTGTATTTATGTAAACTTTGGTATGTGTTTAGATGTGCGTGTGTGTATGTGTATGTGTATATATATATATATATATATATATATATATATATATATATATATATATATATATATATATATTTGTAGGATAGATGTGAGTTTGTGACCCTGTGTTTAACGCTTTTGCGACACACTTTCCATCCCCCCACACACCCCACACACGCACACACACACACATATATATATATATATATGTATATGTGTGCATATATATATATATGCGTGTATGTGTGCGTACATATATGTGTATATGTGGATGTTTATTGATGGGCATTTATGTATGATTATATATGTATATGTGGATGTATGTGCGTATGTTTTCGTATATATGTATATATATGTATATCTTAGTGTTTTGGAATGCATCAT